TGGGCCCGGGGGTCCGGGGGTGAAACCCCCACCCCGGCTTGGGCCCCAGGGATCCCCGCGTGACAACGCTGAAGCGCGGTAGTTGTTGCATCATGCGGTGCAGTGGTCGTTCACTACAGTGCTGAAACGTCAAACCGACAATGACTTCATACTAGTACCCAGCGGCGATCTGGTACGGTCTCTCTTCGATCTTGTAAGAAGTGACACCAAGTCCTGGAAGTTAGGATGTCATTGGGCCAACTGTCACACATCAATGCTTTAATTTTCACGCAGAAGCATGCAAACAGAAATTTAAACAAATTAAAAAGAAGTACTTTGATGATGTCAGTCCACTTTGAGTCAATGATCTTCGATCATCCCCAAACAAAACTCTTTGAACCAAAAAAAAAAAGAACAGGAATTTGAACTTCAAATTCAATCGAGCTGCAAAGGCTCTGCTTCAGAGTCAGATTCTGGGAAGCCTTAGAAAACTCAGCAAGGTTAAGTTAAACTTAGAACAATGAATCATATCCTGAAAACTGAGGATTCAGTGAGGAACTAAACCCAGAAGAGTGAGAATAGCAAAAGTCAGAAAACATGGAAACTACGCTCACAAAATGGAGAAGACCGGACTGGGTCGAGATTGCAGACGCCCAGCCGTGTGATTTATTTTTCTATTGTTTTGAATGTTTTCTGCGTTTTTTTCTTCTTCTTGTTCTTTTTTTCGAGATTGCAGATGCCCAGCCGCGTGATTCACGTTTCCACTGTTTTCTGTGTTTCTTCTTCTTCTTCTTCTTCTTTCTTCGTTTTTTTTTCTCGTCGAATGTGTTCATCAGATGGCAATTCCATCATCATGCCGAGAACAGGTCGAGGCTGCGGATGCCTGCATCTTTGTTGGTGCGGCGTTTTCCGATACCCTAACAACGGGATTCAGCATGAAAGTGAACTGGGCGAAGACGATACAAGTGAGTATACTATATTAATTTTCTGCTCTCTTCACTTGAATGAGAACGATCAGAGAGAGCTACTTGCCAATGGCTGGAAAGGCCTGGGGAGGAAAGCAAGAGTGCACAGATAAAGAGCAGTTATGACTCATGAGCTGATATCAGTGATATGTGGGCATCGGAGTTCGTTGGTTCCTTGAAGCCCTTGCAGAAGGAAGGTACAAGGTTAACAAGAAAAAAACATCCCTGGCCATAATTGTGCAGATGGTTGGGTCAGGGAGAAGTGGGATGCTCCCCATTATGTCAATGCCTGTTTTTTTTTTTCTTTCTCCGGCGGATTGCAAAATAATTGTGAATTTGCTTGCAGCCACACTTTCGTTGATACACATTTTGGTTTTTGGGTGGTGCAGACCACGCACTACTCAAACGTCATGTGCTTGTACAGAAAAGAAGAATGCAGCACGAGATGCACCAAATAAGAGCAAAGCAATGAAGCCGATTGCCAATGCAAGTCCTCTCCTCGCCTCCATCTTCAATGTCTTCAATGACCTGCCTTTTGTTGATACCCAGTCAGTTTGTTTTAGAGTGTCCCAGATAATTGCGGCAGAATTGAGACGTCGGAATGTGCTTTCCCCCCCCCTCCACCCACCCCACTATCCCAATGCCCATCATTTAGAACAACGATGATCATAACTTCTGGCTCGTTCTGACAGTCTGATCATACCGAACAATGTCATGACAGAAGGTATGACATCACAGAAGTTATGATATCACAGAAGCTCTGGTCAATCTCAAAGAGCAGTCAGGTATGGCATCACAGAAGGTATGACATCACCAAACTTGAAGTTATGATAATGACTTATGAGAGTCAGCCAAAGGATCATGCCTTTGCAAACACAAAGTTAACTAACTGTGATGTCGTACCTGAAAGTGAGTTAGCTATGTGTTCGCTGTATCATAGTACCTGAAATACTAGAGATTCCACCACTTTTGCCAGTCTGAGAGTCAGAAAAGTGAGAAAAGGATATTTTCGAGTTCAAGAAAGAGAATTGTTTAAGGTTCAGAAGCTGAAGTACATACTCCAGACTGAGTGTATTGCTGAATTGGAGGCTTCTTTAGGTGGGGAACTGGAAATTGAGATTTTTAAGGAGAATGAAGGGAAAGAATATGCATATTATTATTGATTGATTTCCTTATTGTAGAGGACTGGGACCGCAGGTCCAGAGTCTCCGTAAATCTTAAGACCTCTCTAAGTTAGCTTTGTGTTTGCTGTATCATACCTGAAAGTTAGTTAGCTGTGTGTTTCCAAAAAAAAAAAAGTATCAGGTTAGTTAGCTTGGTGTTTGTGGAAACCCACTGGCAGATACCGCAAAAAAACTGGGCAGTGGGCTTCCGCTTTGATGAGTGATTATCAG